TTTTTTTTTTTTTTTTTAAATATGTGCTGCCACCATTGCCCCTATTGGAACTGGACATGCACAGGAAGCATGGCACTATTTAGCTGGTGATGCCAGATTATTCTTTGTGTTGACAGCTTATATATTATGAGTATACTTTGTGACTTAATACAGTATTGGGCTTTTCCAGCACATGTTTGGCATAAGTAGTAGCTAGGTGCCAATTCCATTGATTCCCATGCAGGTGCTTAGAAATAGTGTTAGATGAATTAGTTCCTCTTCTATTTAAGATTATTTAAATTTTTAGTTTGTTTTGAAAGCCCTTTCCTAGTTAGTCAGAAAGGCCACCATAGCTTTTTACTTGGTTTTTAAATTCATTTTTAGATGGTCACCAAAAGAAAGGACTTAAGGAGAGCTCTTTTCCTTGATGGTTGTGCTGTACTAAGCAGTGCCTTTGTTGCAGATGGATAATGCTCAGGACCTGCTTTCCTTTGGAGGCCTTCAAGTGGTGATCAATGGACTGAACAGCACAGAGCCCCTGGTAAAGGAATATGCTGCATTTGTGCTTGGGGCTGCCTTTTCCAGGTGAGTGATGTAGATGGACATTTCGTTGGCCAGGATGGATTGGACCCTTCAGGTGTTATCTGCTTTTATTCTTGGTCTGATTTGATGGGGAGAAGGTTACAGTTGAATACCTGCATCTTTATCCATATTTCAGAGTTATCCTAAGGGAACTAGAATGAAAATTTGCCGTCTTCTCAAGTAGATACGAATTTTTACTTATGTTGTCACCATCTATGATTCTCTGTTCCCCCTGTCTTTTATATATATGTGAACATTTAATTACATAGTTTTGGTCACATTCTCTGTTTCATTAAAAGTTAATAAACTAGACCAACCATAGATGGTAGGGAGGGAGGGAAATAAACACCAGGAGTTGATCCTTTTGACAGTGAACTACATCTTGTGATGAATAAATGATGAATCTGACCAAGGAGGGCCTAGTGAGGGGACTGTGTGTTTCCCTAGTTGTTCAGAGCCAATCAACATGCAGCCAGGTTATTGTATTATCTGTGTTGAGAGTTGTTTAGAATTTCAGTTAGTCTGGCTTGTGCTAGAAGACTGATCAGGCAAGAGGAGTGGGGAGGCAACATCTCCAAAGAGTAGATGGAGAAATTTAATCTTTCTCTCTATGTCATTATACTCATCTTGAACTGGTCAAGATGTCTTCATGCTGCAATTGCCCATGGAAGATATAATTCCTCCCACTTTTGAAAATCTTGCTCTCTGGACCATTTGTGCCTCTAAAATGGGAAACAAGGTTCTGATCCCTGATGCCATGACATGAATGGTGGCTATTAGGAGTTGCCTGGCTTGACTGCAGGCACTGTGATGTAGGAGAAAGGGTATTCTGATCATTTTTATTTTATTTTGATTTGGGTGAAGATTTACAGAGCAAATTCACTTTCCATACAGCAGTTCACATATACTTTGTCTCATGTCATTGACCACAGTTTACCACAATGCAAC